TAGTCAATGTTGTAAGGACCTATTTGTAAGAGTGCACTAATATAAAAGGGGTACCTCTCTATGAGAGAACTAACCCTAATTTTCACCCCAAATTCTACAACTTCTTTATTACTAAAAAAGAAAAACAAAAAAGCTAAAATGAACAGTAACCTAATGTTGTTAACAATGAAAAAAATAAAATCAATAACCAAACCACGTGGGCATATAAAGAAACTTCGGTCTTTTAACTCTCACGTCTAAGCCAACTGCTCCCCGTCTCCTGCGGTTTTTCTTTCTCCTCTACACCCAAATTATTATGGATGACCCCAAAATCGAAGTATCGGGATCTTTCCCCATCCGCGGCGGCGAACCCCTCGAAGTGATTACAGCCAAGCAACGTCGGCGGCAACGACGACCAAAACCCTAACCCCATCGAGGACGAGATGATGGGCGAGGACGTGTTTTTAGAAGAAACCCTAATCAAGTACGAAGAAGACGAGGAGGTCTTGATTCTCCTTAGAGATGAAGCCCTAGCTTCTCGTCTCTCCAAATGAAAGCGCCCTTCTCTCTCTCCTCAGCAATTCTCTCAAAACATAGGTACATATCTTCAAATTCTCTTAATTTCAAATTTTAGTTCTTGAAGATGTAGTTATTCATAGAAAGTTCACGGAGACGCTGCCCAAGACCTTATCTTATTAAGGTATTTTAAAGTTCATGGAGACGCTGCCCAAGACCTTATCTTATTAAGGTATTTTACAATTGAGAATTAACAATTTCTTCTTTTTTTTTTTGCCCTTTAATTTTGCTTCTAATGGATATTTGTGATGATGGTTAAGTTAATAGTGGATTTTTCCAAAACAGTATGAAATCCTTTCTTGTGAATTTTTGAATGATCTTCTCTATGCTTGGGATATCTATTAGCATTTTTTGACGCCTACATAGGACAGTTAGTCAGAATACTATAACTACCATAATTTGAAAATCATTATAAATAACATAATTTGAAAATCTGTTTAAAACCCCCATGGTAAAAAAATTACCACTAAATTATGCTTAAAAACAAAAATCAAAAGCTAAAGAGAGAACTGATATTTGTTAAATTTCTGAACTGATATATTTAAGTTTGAAAAATTAAAACTGAATAATCTAAAGTTATATGTTTCAGTTTGAAGAGTCAACTAAATTAAACTTTACAAGCTGCTTAGGCTAGGTTTTCTATTAAAACAAGATTTTCCTCTCTAATTTCATTATTAATTCTGCATTTACTTTTCTTAGAATTGTACCTCCATTTTGTGAACTTTGGAACAACATGAGGTAGCTATTTAATTCGAGATGTCGTGATTGATATTGTTTGTCGTCTTAGTATATCATTATGGCAAGTAATTTGCGAGTCTTTATAGTCTATATATCTATGAGACTTTAAACACTATCATGGATCTACCATTATGTATACAAATAAATGCAGTTGAGTCATATGGTGTTGGACAATTGGTACTAAATGAACTATTGAATCAAACTTGATCGAATATCTGAACGAATAAAAAAAAGCAAATAACACCCCTATACTTCATATCTAAAGCAAAATACTTTATGTTAGTAACATGTTCATTGTTTGCAGAAAATCTTTTAGAAACCGTGCTTTGCACGGGTCTAAATACTAGTAAATTAATAAAAGCAAAGCGGTGAGAGATCCAAATCCTCAAAACTAATTTAGTGGTGAGAAAATCTTGTAAATCCCCAAATCCTAACTCCAAAATTTACTGGGACCATCACATTCAACTCAAAAATCAAGAAGTCGTAGTCGCCTCAACGAGGAAATAAATGTTACTTTGCCTCCCTACCGATACTTTCCTCTCCATTTCCCGATTTCTATCCGTATAAATACCAACTCAACATTTCCCCATCTCCTCTCAAAATCGCAAGCGACCAAGATCATCGACGATGGCCACGATCAGCTACTGGCTCGCGAACCACCCGTCAATAATAAACTTCCGATGGAGCCACGCCCAGTCATGGGGCTCCACGTGGTCCTTCCTCGTAGCCTCCATCGCCCTCTACAACCTCCTCTCCCTCTCCCTCCACCTCCTCCTCCTCCTCATCAAGAGGGATGGGGCCCAGGGAGCGGGGCGGCGCCGTTGT